TAATCTTGAGAATTGTAATAGATTTTTAGTAAAATTGGTATTTATTATTGTTTTTTACAATTTTTATTGATGATATAAGGAAAGAAAGGCATAAATTATTTCTGTTACGCAATCGTCAATGACGTAGATTTGCACAAAAGAATAATACCTTAATTTTTGCGCAATAATCGAGCAATGTATACTTCATAATCCGCGTTTTCGCCACTTTATCCGTGCTTTGTAAGAAATGATTTACAATTTATCTATCTTTTATTTATCGTGCTGCATGATGGAGCATTTGCTCGTAACTATTATACTTAATGAGAAATTATATTTACGGAAAAAAAATTATTCTTGCGCATTAATTTTTAAAAAAGTGAAAAAAATTCAATATTTACTTGCGCCGTAAGCAAAAGGATACCCTGCGGAACTAAGTCTATTTCGAAAATGTGTACCTGTGTTAGAACGAGAAAGTAAAGACAAGGGGCAAAGAGCGAGAGGGTGAGAAGGAACGGAGAAGAGATAGTGAATGCATCCAACTCCGCTTGTAATGAACTTGTGAATATTTAGTGGGGTAATTGCCCTTCGTAGCGAGTCTCGCTTGCGTCTACCGCTGTAAGGGGTGTCCGCCAAATCCGGAAGCAAAACCAATATCAGTCGGCCACCTGTGCTCTCAGCTTGCACTTCGTCATATATACGTTACGTGTGCACATCGGTTCCACATATATCGATAATTTGATTTCCTCGGGGACATCGTAGGACGACTGGCCAGTCGTTGAGCCGACTCTACTCCACTTTTTCATTCCGTAATATGGCAAACAAAAAGATTTCTGCACTTCTCATAAGGCTTCAGCGACGCTACTGAAAATACATACGTCAAATTTTCATAATTTTATCGTAGAGGTTCTAAGTGTAAGAATGCTCGATAATATCCGTATTTTTCTGATATATTGTAAAAATTTTTTATAACAGAACCGAAAAGAAATAAAAATATTTATTATAATACGTGCTAGAAGCCATTTCATATAGAACAGGAAAATAGAAAATACGGAAATTCTTGTTATTTCCGTAAAATTGGATCTTTCAAAAAAAACAATACTTTCGACAAGTTTATTTTACTAAAGGATTCTGGAAAAGCGTTGTGTGTGTGCGCGCGCGCGCGCGCGCGCGCGCGTGTGTGTGTGTGTGTGTGTGTGTCACGGAAATTGCCTAAAAATTCCATCTACAAAACTCATATCTCAAAACTCATAGGAAACGATCGCTTATCTTAATAGTTTCTCGTGTAAATTGCTGTGACAAAATGTTGTCAGAAAGTTAAAAAGGATAGCTTTAAAATTTCCTATTTATATCATTTGTGCAAACGTACTATGTAGAATCTAAACATGGATTGTGTAAAAAGTGTTGTCGAAGTGCCATTTCGTCTGAACAAATATGACGTGATGTGTTGGATTCTCATATTGCTTTCAGTATATGTTTCTTCTTTTAGAATATGTTACTCCGCAAAGATCTAGATTTACTATATCGCTTCCTAACTTCTCCGTATGCTTCGTAAATCCTAGGCGCATATACTATAAATAACATACGAATACGATCTTAACGGCACAAATGTACATTGTGCAAAGTATTCTGATAATCGATTACTTCGGTATTTTGTGCCAAATTGCTTCTGGTATACTACAGAAGATATGATTTATTATTATTTATCGAAAAGGATACAACGCAGTTGTCTGTGAGCTATGACCATTAGTAATACAGAAATAATGGTTAGAATTTTTAATTTTTTTTTATTACCTAATAATAATTTTCATTTCGTTGGTTTTATTTTTTAATATTAAAAAATACAATGAAAAAATAATGGTTTGCTATCAGCAATTGAAAAGCGATAATACTATTCAATTAAACATGCTATAGTAACTCATGTAATAAATGTACAAGTCCAAGGAGAGACATGCAACGAGACTGTAATCTGCCGACGAAGCCTAAGCTTACTGAGCTTGCACGTCTCGTGCAAAAGGGGCTTCCGCGTTCTTTACACGCCATCTGAACGTTTTATAATCACTGCGTCTCTCTCTCTTTCTTTCTCTTTCTCTCTCTGTTTCGTTATCCTTCCTCACTCTTTTGTATATTCTCTATCTTCTTTACTTAGAAAAATGTCTGGCTATTAATTCACCCTCGCCTCCTGCCGCGCATAACGCCTTGACGGAACGTACCACCTGGTAAAACAAGCTACATAAATTAAACGGTGGATTATGTATCCCAAATTTTCTTTATTTTCCAAACAGCGGAGAAGAACGGCGCAAATGAGTAAAGGTTAAATGCAGTTTGTGTTAAAATACGAAGTTGTAATTATAAACTACGTCCGCATTTTGTGAGAAATATATGATTTTGTGAGAATTTATCGTTAGCAGCTTTTCGAAAACATGATGATAACAAGGAACTGTTTCAAAATTATATTATACATTAATAATTTTATCTTCGGATTTCTTAATATTATTTCACCTCGGATTAATAACATTTTCGTGCATTTAGATAAATGTGACCAATTTGTGTAGATATTTATTACGCATTTGTCAACATGATTAAAGAATAGTGTTTCGGCAATTATAGGTTCCTTTTCGCCTCGATAAAATTAACAAATGATGAAACGCTCCCGGATCAATCATCGATACACATCTATCTCGCGGCGCATCTTATGACAACGATGGCAACCAATCGGTTTCCAATTTGATACAGAATAGAATCCATTAACGGCGCCCTCCACCGACGCTTCCACCGACCGGATACATTTCGGCGAGTGTCAAAGTGGGAAATGGCAGAAGTAAAGCGAGAAGCCGGTACGGAAGTGACGGAAGAGAAAAAAAGGTATCGCGGACGAGAGAGCGCGACAAAAGTGCGCGCGCGCGAGAGAGAGAGAGAAAGAGAGAAACGAGGGATGAAAAGGGACATACGAGATGCGCGTAAGCGAGTTGGCTGGCAGTCGGTAGCTGACTCGTACCGATAAGAAGTCTCGATCCGCATTCGCTCCCCCAGTTCTCTGTCCGACGTTTCGTTCGTACCTTTCCTTTCACGCGCTTCTTTCTGCCGTTCTCCTTTTTGCAAGGAGAATACGACATTAACTGACGGACGAAGAGCGACGTCGCGTCGGCGCGACGCGAACAAGCACGGAGAGCGGTAGCGCCGACGTAGGCGATGAAGGCGACAAACTCTATCGGAGCATTGAGCTCAAAACGAAATAGGGAATTTAAGTGTCACTATTCAATGATGAGATCTTTCCTAATATCTGTCATCCCTCATTATACTTCCTTTTACTCTGTCCTTCAGAGTTTGTTTCTTATTTTTCTTTTCCATGCACGAAAAGAACGATTTTGTTGAAAGGTCTAAAAATTTTGCTGAATACAGATTTGAAAATAATTTTTGTTCAGTAGTCAAAATAATTTGTTGGAAAGTTAAAAATGATAGGCATTGCTATAAAACGTTTTGATATTCTAGCAATCATTTGGACTTTCCAACAAAATTATTTTAATTAATGAACAAAAATTATTTTTTGATCTGGATCCAGCAAAATTGTTCTTTCGGTGCATGAAAGTATTCCGAAAAATTACGTAACGCTCGCTTAACTTACAGTGCTTATCACTGATATATTAATTTTTATAGGTAAAATATTACATACATGTATTAATAAATGTGCGACTAACATATATGTTATTCACGATACAAATTTAGATTGTCAATATTGTGAACAATTTTTAATAAAACATAAAAACTAGAAATGTAGAAATTATTCATGTTTTACGAACGCGCGCGCGTATGCGAAAATACATGTTTATGTTTCTAAGTCAAGACATGATAAGAAGAAATATTCTCCAAGGTGCTTTTGACCTATATAATTTAAGGCACTTATTCTTTAGACGATCATTGTTACGCAGAAGAGTTTCTCTAAATGCAGCAATTCCGGAAAAGTGCGATTAAGTAGTAAATTCCTCATGGCCGACCTATTACCATTCATATGCGCGCAATTACTATTCTAAGTTCATTCCCTGCCGCCCGTTACCATTTTCCGTAAAACGCACTTGCACACCACTTGCCAGTTTGATAATACAAACTGCCCATTAAACTGTTGATGCTGAAATACGGCGAAACGCGGAGATCGCTATCGTTTGATGCGAGATTCTATATCTCGAAACTAAACGCTTATCTTTGATTTCGAAATACGTCGAAATTGTTTCTTTATTATGATCGTATTGCTTAACATCTCTACATTCAGCGTATACTTCTACAGATACGAGGATTTATATGTATATACTTTGCAAATGAATTAACTCTCGTGTTCAAGCACTTTTATAAGTTCTTCGATAACGGATACTTACTGCGATAACTATTTATCAACACTTATACGCAGTTTACTACGCGTAATAAATAATATCTGAAATTTTGTAATTAAAACTTTTACTTTACAGTTAATAATTAGACAAAAATATAAGGTGAAAAAGAAGATGAGGCTGACAGATAGAATAAATAATATGTGGCATCGAAATATAATTTTAAGAGTTTGAAATTTATAACTATATTTTTTTAATAACAGAAAAAAATTGAATAATTAAAATAATTGTATTTCTATGACTAAAATATGTAATTTAAAGTAAAAATAAATTTAATAAATGTAACTGTTTAACTGTTCAAAAAAAGTAATGAATATCTCATACTCTCCACAATGCATTTCGATGTATACGATATTTCATTTTCTTTTTATTTATAAATTTATTTTACATAAAAAATGATCTATTTGTTAATAATGTAAATATTTATCAATCTTTTATGAAGGTATAATAATAAAATATATCTTGTTTTGTAATATCAAATAAAATGTGTCAGCTATCAAAATTAGAACATGCAGATTTCGCAACTCACTGGTCTATCATAAACACTTGTTATCGTTATTTTATCGAGCGATTCTCATCAGATTGAAATTGTCTGCCATTTACTAATTAGTCGATTAAATTAATTAAACTCATACACACACGTATTATTAAGTAATAGATAATTTATTTATTATTTATTAAAAGATATGTACAATATAATGCCATACGTATAAACCGTAGTGTGATAATGTAATACAATAATACAACACGATAGCGATTCACATATTGGTATGCGTAGTTGTATGCAATTACGTCATTATAGATATAAACTGATTAATTGGCCGGATCGCATCCAGCTTTCCATGGAAAATCGCAGACCTTTTCTATGGGATTAAAGTGCAAATCATCAGGACACTTCATTACAATTGCTCGGCCATAGTCACAGACAAAGTAGTGGTGGCAGTTGGTGGGATGAGGGATGAGAATGGCATCCTCTCCTGGTTTTGGTCCTCTATTCGGGCATTGGACTTCCTCTGCTTGGGCATAAAACGCACCCAACAGGCACACCAAAAGTGCAACAGAGTATATGGCTAAAATATATTAAATTAATTAGAAAATGTAATAACATTTAACCGTTTTGTGAATTATCCTAAATTAATTACAAATTTCTGATTAAGTTACAAAAATAAAAACGTGACATGCGTGACAATTATATTGATTGAATTTGTAACTCATATTGATCACATCTCGAGCAACAGGCTTACCTTTCATCTCGCTTCTGTATTGTGTGTTTTCTTATTTCACTCTTTACGCGAATCACACCAGATTCTGCGTTCGGCTGTCTAAGGCCTCTTTATATACCCAATCGATAGATTCTTTTTATCTAGATCGCTCTATCGCTTCCCCATCCTCTTCTGAGATTCGTACCCTTATCAGATACGCGCGTAATGATATCGTGATAAATTTGCGTTTCAGACATTTCACATAACGATCGCGAATCGTGTCAGTTTCGTTGATTCGCATCTGGGTTTGTTGCAGATCATTCCCAGTCGAAATGTTAAGAAGACGAGGGTCGAAGTAAGCGAATAAATGAGAAAAGAAGGGATTTATGAAGAGTGAAACGAAATGAACGAAACGTAGGATGAGCGCGAGAGAGTCGGGATGAGTGAGAGGAAGCGAGAGAGGAGAAGGATGCTGGCTGACACTCGGACAATGCTGGCGTGGTGCTGTCGCGTTCGGTTCCTGGTTATGGCGGGTGCACAATGCCTATTGTCGGGCAACCCACCATACAAACGTGTGTGCTGACGCTTTCACACAACGGCCAGCTCTAGCTCTCTACCTCTATCTCGTCCGTTCGCTCCCTCTTCGTCGCTGTACTTTCGTTTCTGCCGAAGACGAACACAAAATCTTCCTCCTTCGCCGTCGTTTCCTCATAAACTCGCGACTCTCGGCAAGACCAATAAGATATGTAAAGAATAATATTGATTTTTTTCAAATAACATCGGAGAAGTAGGGCAAAATGAGTCCAAAGCGAATAAAATAGAAAAGTGCGAAGGTAGAAAAATCGTATTTGATTGTCGTCACTTTCACGATACTGTCTCTAAAATATCGTCGCAAAATTCACTAATAGATATTCCAGTCTTGAAATATAAATAAACTTAATATATATAGTTAATATAATCTAATATAAAAACTAAAAGATATTTAGAATTTTTAAAAAACATTACAAACTTATTAATGAAAAATTACATTTTTATAAAACAAAATTTTATTTTAAAAATAGCTAAATTACTAATTTAATTTATTATTAAACCTAATTATTGATTTAGTTTACAAAATGTCTCTGAGTATCTATATATTCACAACTTCGAAATGATATCCTTATCTTAAGAGCTAATATTAATTTGATGTTATGAAATATGGAATAATCGCGTTATCAATTTTTTTACTACGACTTATTATAATGTTTACTTTAAACCAATCATTAGTCTTAATAATATTTTTAAGATCTATTTCTATTTGATACATTCAATTTTATATAAATTCTTTTTTAAATACTAATACTATTTTTTTACTAATCGTCATTGACGTTAATTAATTATTATTAATGTTAATCGTTATATATTATGTAAACTGATGCATATTACTATTATAATACACAAATATTAATTTGAATAAGATATAGTTAGGTAGATGAACATCTCAAAAATAAATTTATCTTTTTTTTTTGTAACACTGAAAAGGTAAATATAATTATATTTCGTTTTGTTTGTTAGAAATCTTTTCTCATGAATTGTCATATTCATACGCCAAAAGAATGAGATATCCAAGAAATGTAGAAAAAAAATGTTTTTTTGTACGATAAATAAGAGGAAGGCGAACTTCCGTTCTGTCACTTCAGCAAGATGTCCATAATTTGAATTCAATCGTTTGCAAATCACGATCTCGTTCACGTCTTATTCCCGATTGTTCGAAACTGCGCGGAAATTGGGTTTCCTTTAGGAAATGAGACATTTCAGTCGACACGGAAGAACGATTGTTCGAGAATGGTTGGACGCTTACAAACGAAAAATATATCGTTTTCTTGGGACGTGCCAAAATTTTGATCAACTCTCAGTGATAAAACTGGTTTAACGTATAAGAATATATATCGTCGCTTTGTTCGTGTTTCAACTTTAAATCAATCGCTATCGTTATCGAAAGAATGGTTATCGCAAAAAAGGCTAATAAAAAATAGCATATAGAGCTGCCAATATTCATATAAAATAATTGTTAAAATAATTACGAGATTATTAACTGATACGTTGCTGTCGATCATAATATTTAAAAATATTATGGCATGTGAAAATGTTAGCATTAATATTTCCATTCTCCATTGGCCCGCACAAAGGAGGAAGAAAGAGAAGAAGAGAACTCGGTCTCCCGTACTCGCCATATTGGCATACACGCCGCCTGCGTTTTACGGCCATATTCAGCGATTTTGCATATCGAGGCCAGACGTGTGTATGTGCGTACATTATAGGGCCGGGGGGAAAAAAAGAGAGAAGGGAGAAAGAGGAGAAACCCATCGCCGTCCTTTCTTCTCCAACGCCATCAGAACTGCTGCAAGCCCATTCACCTTTTCCACATCGATTCACATATATACGGCAATCGCAGACCTTCTTGAGAGCTCAATTTATCGCGGAACGGCCTCCGCTGCCGCATCGGTACAAAGCGTGCTGGTGTGCGGGACGTATACCCTCCTTCGGATCAAATTGTCATAATTGAATAACCAAAGAGATAAGCGAGCTCCGCTTTGACTATGAGTGCGCTCACGTAACTTTGGCAACGACCTCATATACATATACGGGTCGATTCATTTAACCCTGGAGTGTGCCTCGAGTCCACTTCGTGCTCAATTCTAAACTTCCCCCTCTCGTGTCATGCCTATACACAAATTCGTTTTTATGATTGAGTCGCGATTAAATCGACCTATATATTAAATGCGTTTCATTTATCTTGATAACTGTACGAAATTGATTATGTGGGAATTCTAGAATTATTAGATGTACCTCACAATAATCGAATATACTGTTAATCGCATATATTAAATGTTAAAGACTGATTAGTGTTTAAAATTTGTCTACCAACATTTTGTCAATTATAATATAAAACAATATTTAAAAAAAAAAAATTCAGATTGTTGCAGCTTAATATATACATATGATAATATTCTCAGAAAGGGGAAGGAGGGGGATAAGACAATCGTAAAATTGTGTGACTCATTCTGGCGATCAGAAAAGAAAGGCGGTTTATAAAAGAAACACTTGATGAAGCTGATGGAAAAGGTTGATACGAAATAAACGAGATCGGGCGGAAGCGGAGGATGCGGATATCGGGGATAGCTTTAACGGTCTTTTGTTTAGCTGACTCCGCCGTTCGCCAGCATGCCGGTAATTGCCACAATGCGGGGTGAAAAGCTAGAAAAAGTACGGCGCAGCTGGAAATCAGAGAAAACGGCTAATCAAATGACAAGTTGATCGCTAATTTTACTCTTGTATATACTCATTGCGCAGAGATATATACTCAGAGAAAAGTTACATATTCCATACGTAAGTATAACGCTGTCAGTTTTCATTTTTAACTTTCTCTAGAATGGATATACATAAAGAGAGAAAAATTTCACCAGAAGTTTGATAATTTTTATTTCTGGAGATATGGACAATAACAATAATTGTTTTCTCCAGCGATAATTGGTCAAAGAAACATCCGAATTGGAACTAAAGTAGGTACATATCGGCATTCGCATTAGACAACCGGTTAGAAACTTGTTGCTGTGATTTACAATCATAGGGCAGGCAAATTGGGGAGCAGTCGGGAATATGTCATAGATTTGTGCCTATGAGAAGTGGTATTGCGGATACAATTGCTTCTGGCGCGAGAAACGTAACATGTGGTCACGCAATACCATTTCGATTGCGCTCATTATGGATTTATTAGATTTGTACCGTGATCTATCGTTCTCTCTTATTCAACTCAACATAAAAAGCAAAATTATTAAATCTGTCATATATAGTATACAAAAAAATCATATTTATGGAATATATAAAACGTTGCAATATACGAAAAAAATATTTTTACTGAATATCACATTTTTTAAGCAAATCTTCTAGATTTTGTAAAAGTAAAATAAATTGTTATTAAATATATATATTTTTAGGAAAATTTCTATATTCTGCCAATAAATTCTTTTTCTTTGTCATAATTATTATAAATACAGAATGAATAATTACTCTTTTAATTTTATAAAAAAATTTTTTTCATTAATATGTAATATGTTCACATGTGCAATAATATGTAATATGTTCACATGTTAAATAACGCTGAAATTTGTATCCCAGTTTCTATCCTTTAAATAATTTTCTTTTTAAAAGATCAAAGACGATAAAAGATGTAGCAATGTAATATCTGATTCCGTAGAACATGGACTCTCTGTGGTTATCTGATATTTATAAAGAAGCGTCAGTTACAAAGTCCGCATTCAGTGAGTTATAGAGAATACTTTATGTTAAAGTGTGATACAATAAAATGTTTGCAACTTAAATCAGCGTGAAATAACACGAAGATATGTTTCTTTAATATTTTATCAAAATAATAAGAAATAAAAGCAATATAAAATCTATGTTATGATCTACGATCGTAATTTTGAATTATGGATACAGAAGATGTAGATGTAATTTTAAATAATGTTTTTCAAAACAAGTAATAATATTAACGACATTGTAATTAAAATTTCTCTTATTTTTAATTTAAATAGTTTATTTTTGGTATTTTTAGTATTTTGAGACTAAAGATATTAATTTTTATGATTGCAATTTATGATGACAAAAGCTGCACATTGATACAAGACAAATATTATCAAATATTAAAAGAAATTAACAATGAACATTTTAAGCCTATCCACGATTGAGTTTTTATTGAATAATTAAAAATGTCACCGGCAGTGCTCTCCGCTCTTATGACCTGAAGTGAAGGAGGTCGCTCTTGAAATTTGCATAACTGCTTCAACGATAGAAGCTTGCTTGAAATATGGCGTTTTATTATTTTCAAGGTACTTCACTTGGTTAAATTTAACTAAAAGGTGAGTACAAAAGGATTGAAAGCTATAAGAAGATAAGTTTGTTTAGGAATGCTGTACATGCAATTTTAATGTAACAAAGATCAGATGGCTGTAATTTTATCAAATTATATTGATTAATTTTTATAGATTAATATTGTTACATAAATATTGACATATAAAAAATTCTTTTTAATATTAAATTTTATTATTCATATTGTAAATTGTAGTACATG